GTAGTAGTAGTAGCAGTACCAGTAGCAGTAGTAGTAGTAGTAGGGTTGGCGTGCCAACTTGCGGCATTCGGTCTCGCGGTGCACTGGACTGCCAGGTCCTTATGGACCACAAGTATAGCTGGTAGTAAGGGCCGCGATGACGAGGATGTTGATGTGAATAGGTATATTGAGTAGCACAGGATGATTCTTGGTCATGACTTTGTTAGTGATGACGATGACGATGATGACAAATGATGAAACAGAATAATGATGGATGCTGATGAAGGTATGATGGTGATCAATGCGAGACTTTACTTTCATCCTCCGATGGGCCTGCGTAGTTCAGAGCAGGTCCCAAGCATCAAGCTGCCAAGGTTGATGGGGCCACCTTTGCGACGATTGGGTGTGCAACACCTCGAGGCCAACAGAAAGACCCAGGAATGGTTTGGGGTTTCAGGCTTGAGTGGTTCAGCAGTTTAGGGGGGGGTTCTGGTGGAGGGGTTCACTTCGACGGGTTTGGGGGTCCATGGCTTCGGTGGCTGAGGGTTTAGTTTTTTCAGGGGTATGAGGCTCTAGGGGTTAAGCAGTTTAAGGTTTAGGCTTGCAGGTTCCAACCAGAATGTGGGGTCAGGATTGAATCCTGCTGCGGCAGTGCTTCAGGCAGACGTCTGTGTTGGACAAGGCAGGCTCAGCTGGAGAGGAACCCGGTCTGTAGGTTTGTCCAAGACTCCTGAATACTCTTCGAACCCTTGTTGGGGATGGCTTCTTGTGAGCCGGGAGGGCGTCGACCTCTCCGCGAAGATGTTGGAGGTGGCGAAAGACAAGGCAGCCCTCGAGTATCGGCATGATGCTTGCTGCGTTGTTTTGTGTTTCTGTTCTGATAGTGGGATTGGTACGTGGGATTTCGACAACCCGAACGTTGTACCAGTTCCCAAGCATCCGTGACCGCACGCTGCTTTTCTGATGCTTCAACTCTTACTCTACAACTCATGCAGATGATATGAATGTATAGAAATGCCTGGGCGGAGACATGCAGTCAACTCTTCAACCAGTCTAAAAGCCCCTAATCCCTCAACCTGCACTTCACCGAACACTGTGTTGTGACCTTTTGCCTTGAGCTGCTCGTGGTCAAAGCATCCATGCATCGCACACCCTGCCTCTCTGCATGGCTCGGACCTATCCTCAGCCCGAAACCCTAAGCTTCATGCGCTTAAACACCCAAAGCAGCTCTGCTTAAACCGAAACTTGCTATTCGGTCCTCGGACCTAGAGTATGTCTGATTGGGTTTGTGCTGGGGGGGCCTGGGTGGGACATTCTGGATGCTTCAATCATTGTCAGCTC